ATTTCATGTGATATGTTGTATGATGTGTTCTTGGCTATGCCACATATATTTTTTCAGTCAAAAACTTGTACATAACTTGTATCCTCACAAAAGAATTCATATGTGTGTGCACACCGTGAAAATAAGGGAATAATCACAAAAAATGTTTAGGTTGCTTCTTTGTTACTATGACAATATCTTAGTATATAATCCTGATAATTAAACAGTAAAAATAAGTATAATATGGTTAAGGCAATTGCAGATACTTAAACTGCACTTACCAAGATTATGATGAAGAAGATGAATTTCTGAACTGTTTATTAGGGTTTACTAATTCTCTTTAGTGACTTTCACAGTAATTTAAAATGTTACATTATTGTTAGGTTCTCATTTATTATTTAGCTGCATCTTTTACCCCAGGACAAGTTCTACTGCTCACAATGGGGCTTATTTCTAAATGAGCAGTATACTTATAGAAGTAAACATTTAATGCTCCCTGCCAGTGCAAAATTTTGGTTGGGAATTATGGAAACTGAACATTATCAAAATAAGGTTATATTTTCTGATATCCTAGCTACATTTCTTTTTCTAAAACAAAAGAAAGCAAAACAAGCATCGAATATTCTTTCTTGAAAATTTCTTGGCAGAAGTTTTAAAATTATAAACTGACTGGATGTAGAAAAGCAAAAGTTAAGAAATTCCTGTAATATCATACTGCCTGCAGTGTCAAAATTTGGCTTGAAAATTTAGAAAGAAGGAAATTGCCATACATCTGCTTTTTTCCTCTGTTTAGCTAAATACTGTACTTCCTAACCAGCAAAATGTTTCTAGGCTTAAAACATGTTTTACCTTAGTGCAAGTGCAAATTCAACTGCATTAGTTATGGATAAAGTGACATTTTCATCAGGATTGTCCTGTTGTGATATATGTGTTGTGAGTGTGCTGTGCATCCATTTGGAATGCTGTTGAAAACATGAATTCCATGGGTTGTGTATAAGATTAGGTGCTAAATCTGGAACAGCAAAGAATGCCATGCTCTTAATAATCTTAGGAATTTGGCTAGTTGCTTTTGTGGCTAAGATAAAAGTAAAACAATGGCAACCGTCACACCATAGTGGAACCTTGGGACTTTGGTTTATATGCCAGAGATGGATCCATTCAACCCAGCCAATTAAAGGGAAATTAGCCTGTTGTTGTTTTACTTTTGTTTCCTTTGAACTAACCCTGTCTTTACAGCTATCAGTAGTAGTTTCAGTGGTGCAAATATATCACTAAGAGTCAATGCTTTGCAATCAAGTTGATTTTTGCTTCTTGACATGAAAAATATTCAAGTGATTTGAAAGGAGTCTTGTGTGTGTGTTGTACACATAGAGCAACAGTGGATTTACTAACATCAAAATGATTTCAGTCATGCTTATTTCTGACTGCTTGGATTAAGTGTAAGAAAATATTTTCATGCCACCTGAAATATTACTTTGGGCTTTTAATTAGAAATATATTTTAAAAATTGAGGGAAGGAGCAAGCATTTTTTTAAAAGTGGTAGCTTTAAAGAGGAAACCATTAAAGAAAAGCAAAAAAAGTAACCACTTTCTGTTTGATGATTTTCTTCATTTTTGATTTCTTTATCTAGTCACACACAAAAAAGAGTGAAACCTAAAAGCCTAGGGAAGCTTTGAAAGTTCCTCCTGCATGTAATGTTCCTGGTCTGGTCTGAAAAACTCCTGGATTTCCATACTTTCAGACTGACCTTCAGTTAACCTATTCGTTATGATGCTGTAGCCAGCCTATCTGCTTTCTCTTGTTCATTATTTTCTATTAAAACTTTTCTATGAATAATGGATTGGTTTGGAGGAAATGCAGATAGTCTTTGACTTACAACCATTTGTTTAGTGAGTGTTCAAAGTTACAGCGGCACTGAAAAAAGTGACCATTACACTTACAACCATTGCAAGTTCCCTATGGTCACATAATCAAAATTTGGACTCTTGGCGACTGGCCCATAGTTATGATAGTTACCGTCTCCTGGGGTCATCAGGCACTTTTTGTGACCTTCGGACAAGCAAAGTCAATGGGAATGTCAGATTCACTTAACAACCGTATTACTAACTTAACAATGGCATAGATCCACTTAATAACTGTGGCAAGAAAAGTCATAAAATGGGGGGAAACTTCAGTTAATAACTATCTTGCTTAAAGAAGAAGTTTTAGGTTCACTTATATTTATAAGTTAATCTGTAAGTTCACCAAGCATGCCCAAGTAAGCTATCTACTTCTCCCCTTTAACTGGCCTTGTAAAAGGTAGGAGAGGGGGGAAAAGATAAATGACTATTACAAACATGAAATCAACATTACCCACATCAAGTTTTCCTTCCTTTCGTAATGTGTTAAGAGACCATGGTATTAATTTGAGTCATGAAAGCAAGCATTTCTTTTGTCCTCTGGGCAGATTTCTTGTCATTCCTTAATGGCAGTGAGATTTCTCCAGCCTGAGCTTCTAATTGCCATACCAGTTCTTGCTTTCCTCTCTTCTCCTTAAATGGTTGTTAGGACTGCTTGTCTTCATTTCTTGGGGAAGGAACTTGGCACAGTTCAGTGGCCCAACAAATAAAAAGGTTTTTTTCAGTCACAGTTCATGTTTTGATGGTTTCTCAAGTAGCTGCGTGTGTGAGGGTACAATCCATCAAATATCCTAGCTACATATGAGCTACATATCCTAGCTCCATTCAATGGAATGGAGCTTGTACACATTGGTTGTATGCAAGCCATAATCTGAGTACCATTCAATAATATCTAAAGCTAATCTTTAGGCAAGTGATATGCTACAGCAGCCTTCCCTAAGTTGGTTCTCTCCAGGTATAATATACTGTAATTTCTGTGACCCCAAAAGGTTTGAGCATGATGTGCTTTATTTGATTTTGGCTAAGTATGTTGAACAAGCCACTTTTTATTCAAAAAATGTAGGTAAACAAAGCTTTGATCTCTTTAAAACTAACATTCAATAAATCAGGGGCACTGCCTCTCTTCATCACAGAGTTCCTTCTCTTTGCCAGTTGCTTACTATACTGCACTAACACCCGATGTTTACTGTATGTTTAATAGATCAAAATTATCCTTTCATACATTCACACATGTGCACACACAGTCCTCCATTTTATTTGAAATATGGTCAAAGAACTCAGTGTATTAAAAGATTTGTCTTCAGGTGGATATAATTTTTGTTCCTCTCTCTGTTTCAGCTCAGACAAGGGGAAATAGAATCTCCAAACATCTGTTTTGAGGCTTGCTTGATTCCTGAGTTCAACTAATCCAAGTTCAGAAGACATGTATACTAAAATAATAATATATTATTTAAAAAAGCATTCTTGAATATGTAAAAGAATACATCTCATCATATTCATGAATAAAATCATTCATCCACGCTCACCTCTTCCAAGTTATATCTCTTTTTAAGATAAACATGAAACCGTACGCATGTTTCCCAAATATTTTTAATCAACATACAAGGAAACTTAATTGACTCTGAGTAGCCTAAAAGTGGCCAGGACTGGCAAACAGGTGTTACAGCAAACAGCAGAATGTTATCCTGCAATTCTACATCATTGAACTCTAGTGTTTCTTTAAAATAGTTTCTACTTAAGCTTAGCATTTAATCGGTTTTGAGGAGAAAAGGTATCAGATAAACACACAGAAGATGCTTCTATGATCAACAGAATGAAGCACTCTGCAGGTCAAGCTAGCAGCACCATCCCTTACAGAGTACTGTATGTACTCACAACCATTGCAATCTGAATGATGCTTTAGGACACTGCCTGTAAACTATGCTCCTGAATCTACCCTTGTCTAGATGTTTCCTCTTTCCAAACTGCAGCAAAACATATATTTTCATCAAATTTCATCTAATCTGCTTTGGTTACTCAACTTGGGTAATGGCAAAGAACACTTCAACAATGGAAATGATTGGAGGCTTCCCCTGCTGGAATGCATTCAATTAAAGGCTAAGCAACCTCTGAGTAGAGATGTTGTAGCTCTGGATTTCAAGATGCAGATCAGCAATGGAAGTAATTGGAAAGCATTCAATCTGGATTGGATGGCTTTCGGGTTTAGTACAAATCGGTACAATATTTGTTGCTCAGGGTTGTTGCTTGGGTCCCCACACATTAGTGTGTGAAATTTTCTTCCAGGGTTGAGGACCTGCAGTATCATGTTTAAGGACATTGAGTATCCCACACTATTTGCAGTGGGATATTTCCCTTCATCCTTGCAATCCTAACTGAAATTCTGCTTCTAAACATACAGTTAAGGAATAGCCAGTAATTCATGTATTAACCTTAGTGTGATTTGTTTGGTTTTGGATTAACTTGTACATGAATCTGACCCCTGAGGTTTGTAAACTGTAGTTTGTATCTTACTATAATGTGTGGATCTAGACAATTGTGTTTTGTTTAGCAAATTATAATTTCATGTGCAAACCTGTAAGGACCATTATCAGCTATCCCCAACCTGGTGCACTCCAGGATGTGAAGGTTTCTACAGCTTCCAACATACTCTATCTGAAGGTATCACACTGGAAAAGTCTGACAGAGATGGACCAGAGCTATGATTCACTATGAACCTGATAACCTCCTGTGTGCAAGTTCTCCTTATGGCACATTATGCATGACGTGAGCCACAAATTAGCCAACCACACTCTAGCTTAGCATGTTATACATACAGAAGCCTAGTAAGTGCATCATGTAAACGCAGAAAAACTCAGTTGAATAAAAACATAGTTAAGAACCACTGGTAAGCACAACTAATCGAGGGAATACAGTACGTCCCAAAAGGATAGCCTTACTGCTAGTTTGTTGCAGCAGAAAAATCATTAATTTTGAATTATGAAATGCGATGCAATAACCAAGTGATCTAGTATAACAAGCTACCAGCTCTTGCTCTGCCCAAGGAAAGTCTCCTTCCATCCATCCATCAATACCCCACTCCCAATCCTCACTTGCTAAAGGGATATGTAAGGAAGAGCACCTACCTGGTTCAGACAGAAACTGTGAAAAGCCCTCAGATCTAGGAAGTGTTTCTGCAAAGGGATGAAATTAATTAGCTGTTGTTTTACTCTCCCTTGTTTGGGGGAAAGCGGGATCAGAGGGCAGAGGCAGCCAATGAAAAAAGAGAGTTTCCCCAGATGGTCCCCTCCCACCCCAAAGGATTTGGCCATACAAGGCAAAAGAATGCCGTGCTGTGCGGGTGGCAGCAGCCCAACTGTGAGACGCTGGATTTGGGACTGTGAGAATAAGGGAAGGGGAAGAGAGGATTCTGCCTTATATAGATAAAATGATGGGGGGGGGGGGTTGGAGGGAAGTTGCTGAACTGATCGGTTGTTAAAACCGGTATCTGAGAGGACCTAGCAACAGTTTTCTTTATAAGGATGCAAGTCATATAAACGACAAACCTTTGTGCTTTCTGCTGGCTGAGAACAAAAGTTTAAACAAAAGCTTAAATATGTATGGTTAAAAGTCACAAGGACTTCCTGAACAATGCTTGGTTGGCATTCCTCACTCCTCTGTGCAGTTGTTTCAATTATTTTTTCCTTGCCAGAAAAATAAAAGTACAGATGTTTTCTAGTGAATAAAGACTAGTTTAGACAGGAAAACGTAAAAGAAAGCATCAGAAGCAGTTACCCTTAATTCATTTTTCCTGTCAAACAGGCTCTTACATTTCTGTAAAAGCCAGTAACATTTCCTGACCAGATTCTTCATGGTATAAAGATGTACCATAAAACAGTCCTGTGTATTATAAAGTCAAGTTTCCTTTAAGTCAGGTTCATTTGTAGTAATTTCATGGACCATCCACGTATCTGTCTTCAAACAATGCAGTAGTTTGCCAATGCTCTCTTTCTGAATGTTTTACTTCCCAAATTTAGCCAACAATCCTTGTCTCCCATCCAATTTTTAATCAAATGTAATTTGTTTTGTTACCTTTTTTTAACTTAGCAAAGGTTGGCAAAGTCTTGTCCTATCCATCTGACAGTTATTTGGTACTAGTGGGGGTGGGAGCCGCTGAGCTAATTTGCAAAAGATTAGCATGCCAAAGTTATCTAAAATATTGTTATTTTATCTGCCAGCTTTCCATTCATTCTGATCCATTATTCACTTGGGCTTTGAATGAGGATGTAGAAACCTTTTAAGCTCAAAGACTGCACTGCATCCAGCCTAACTTTCTGGTGAAGTTATGCCAGTTGTAGGTTCCTTCCAATCAAGGCAAAGAACAGATCAATTGTTTCTCATCCCACCCATTCTTTACCCCCAGCCCAGTCCCAATGTCTTAGCCTGTTTATTAAAAAGCAGCCCTGGAAGAAAACATTGTAATTACATTTCCTGTGGAAGATGACTATGGAAAAGACAGTTGTACGTTCTCATGAGCAGATGGTACCTGAATCAGTTCTTAAAGCCTGGATGTTCTGAAAAGGAAATCCAGACACATCTAAATCCCAGCCGTCAAGGCTTATACAGCTATGCAAGGAAAGTTAGAGTTTATTGTGTTTTGTTATCAGGCAAGATGTCATACTATGTGAAAAAGTAAATCAGATTAAGGCTCTCTGAATCTATTCATACTGTATATAGTTTCTGCTTAATCAGCTTATTCATTAATACAATTATTCGAATTCACATATTATACTATACTAAAAAATAAAGCTAACTACATGGAATAGGTTTGTACAACTATGCTAAAATGTGATTGGCCAATTTGCATTTCATCCAGAGACTTGTTAATATAACCCACATAATGTCCTTTTAAATTAATCACAGTGCTGAAAACAACTTAAAAAATGTAATTCATTCAACCTCCTACCAGTTCAGGCAATCTGTTACTCCACCATCCATCATCCATCCTTTTTTCAAAAATCCACAATGGAGAAGAACATGATACAATCTTCAGAGATAACATAATCTACTATCTACAACTGTTTCCACCTACAGTTGTGGCTAGGAGAGTTTTTGCACAACTTCATGCTGTTCTGTGCAACAATTGCACTTTTTCCTGGATCATGAGGCCCTGTGCTTCTGCCTTCTCTCAATTGGACTACTACAAATGAGGCCACCCTGGAAGAGTATTTGGAAGCTACAGCTAGTACAGAATGCAGTAGCATGGATAGTTCGGGAAGCTTCTAGGGCGATGCATGTAACACCACTGTTGCACAAGCTTTATTGCTTGCGAGTTTGCTTCCAAGTCCAATTCAAGGTATTGGGGTTTTTTTTACCTTTAAAGCCCTTTATGGCATGAGTTCAAGATATCTAAGGAACCAAATTGCTCAAACTGGATTGGCCCTTGCTCACTTGCTCCACCAGAAGAGTGGCGCTCTGATGGACACCATCTGCCCAGGAATTTCAGTTGGTGGGGTGCTGGAGAAGAGCCTTTTCCATTGGGGCCCCCATCTTTTGGAATATTCTGCCACTGGAAGTGAGAATAATCTTTATTTTTTTGGCCTCCTGGAAGGACTTAAAACCTGGATCAGTTGGCTGGCTGGCTTGAGAGCACTTTTCAGTGGAGGTAGTTGATAGGGTAGAAGAGAAAATTCCCACAGCCATGCTGCCCATCTCCTTGATTTTTAGTCTACTTAAGTCTGATTAATTGAACTGTTTTTAAGCCGCCCAGAATCACTTCAATGGTGAGGTAGGCAGGGTATACATTAAATAAATAAATAAAACTTCCTTTCAATTTGCACTAATGGATTCCAGTCTTATGTTTTGGAACACTAGAAAATACATTTTATCTATGTGACATCTTTTGTAATGATTACACAACAGGGGCTTTTCTGGGAGGATAGTTGAAAAGTCAGGATGTCTCTGATACAAAAGGTTGTGGGTTCAACCACAGCTGAAGTCACCATGTTGCACCTTTTTTATTCACCTAGATGACCCTGTTACACAATTAAATTACCATCCCTTGCTCAGATATCTGAAACAAAGTTCTCTAAATCTATCAAGGCTTATTTTTAAATATATCTGTATAAAGTGACCCTGACAGATTATCACACTAAATGAGTTATCTAAAAGTCAGTTCAGCTGAACTCAGTGGAACATTCATTCAGACATGCTAGCAGTATAAATAGACAAATCACATTAGTGAATGATGAGTGTGTTTATACAACATTTTATTCAAATAGCCAGTTCTTTGGGTTTCCTGTCCACACTGAATCATAAGACTAATCTAATGAGCTTTGTTCACAAATTGCACTACTGTATTGAGTTGATTGTACAAAGAAAACCATTCAGCAAATACCACAACCTGTAAATAACGGCAAGGAATAAACCTTTCTAGCAAGTATATTTTGATTAGCTCTTGTTAAAATGCCCAGTGACAGACAAATATTTCCTCTTTTTTTGTAAGGATCCCATCGATTTTATTCTTTCTTTCTCCAAACATATGCAAAGTTCATGTTTCAGAAATATGAGTTTTTAAAAAACATAATTTAGCTATTGTGAAAGTTTGGTTTCTATGCTTTGCAGATATGGACATGAGATCATTATGATTTAATGTTTCACCACAGTTGGCTTTAAACATAGAGCAGTTTGAAAAACTAATATCCCTACTGTGAGAGCAGTGGGTTATGCAAATATTGTAAATTCTCTAGTGCCTTAAATCTCTCAGGCTGTATTTGCTGTCCAAGGAGAGAGGGACTCCCAGGTAAAGCCAAAGAATAGGCCATTGTAGAAGCTATGGAACATGGTATCTTTCTGCCACCTTGTGGTGAATATGCATAATTAAAAGGTGCTGTTTAAAAAAAAAAGGAAAAAAACTTTTTTATTTACATTCAGTAAAATACTATGTGTTGATGATGTCTTTTGCAACAGGATATTTTCACTTCCTTACATTGCAACATGCATAAGTTGTAACACATTTAGCAGTTTCATGTGTTAATGAGGCTGTCCTTGAGGACATACCTCTTTACACCCAAAGCTTTAAACTGATTCAAAAATGTAGCTGTTTGAGCTACACTGATTTCCAATTGCTTCCAGGTATAATTCAAGGCTCTGGTCACTATGTATAAAGCCTTACATGGCATACCCCTGCTTACTTGAAGGACTATCTATCACCTATAGCATCTACCTGACCAATTTAAATCTGCAGGTTGGCACACTTTGGATTTCTTCAATTAAATGTTCTCTATCAGGATCTCGGAAGCACACCTGCCACAGCACCGGCCCTCTGGAACAAGGTTCTTCCCAAGATCAGGATGGCCTCTATTCTGCTGTTGTTCAGAAGAATCACAAAAACTCTTCACCTGGGCCTCTAACAAGGGAGGGTGAGACCCCTTCACTTCATCCCATCTGATCTATTACACTTGCCATCTTTTACTGTTAATTGTTATAATTTTTTGTTTGTCATGAACTAGCCAGAATGGTTGGGAATTTGGTCGCATCAAGTTTAATAAATAAATAAATATTGAGGGTTTTTTTTCTATTGAATCTCCTATTACAAGCCTAACTGTTTTACCAATGAAATAAAGCATGGCATAATGATTAGAAGTGCCAGATTTTCGTAACAGAAAGTAAATGTAAGTAAACAGGATGCTGGGATTACAAGTGTTGAAATTTCCAACTAGCAGAGAAGTATCCCCGGTTTGGGAAGGCTGACATAGCCTCAGTGTCTGCAGTTTTAATCCAGCCTCTTTCACTTTGTATATACGACATCCACACCCATGACTAGGATTCTCAATAATTATTGTGGTTATTTCTCCAGAACCTAAACTAGATAAAATAAAATTTTGTGTGCCTCTTTATCTAGACTGGGGTCTTTCTACATATTATTTCAGTAATAAATCTGGGATGAAACTACACAATAGATAGTAGTATCCAGCCTAAAGTAATATACATTATATATGTATTGTGGATGTTTAGATGCATCAATTTACACCTTCAGTCATTATACTCTGGTAGCATGCATTTTAACAGTGTTAAATCTGTTTAGTCTCCGTAACTGCTTTTTCTCTTTGGAAGGTGAGAATATTAAAAACTCAAAATAAAACTATATGAATATTTGGCAAGGAGAGTAATTTCCCACAGGACATTTGTACAGAATTTAAATGTGCTAATTTATTTTTTTATGTGCAATTTATTAAAGTAGTATTTTTATTTTCTAAACTATGCTGAAAATATTAATCACAGTAGAAAATGCTTGTAAGAC